TTGACCAAGGACTTTCACAGTAAAAAAAAGAAAAAAAAATTACCTCAGCAGTAAAGTCTCAGTAGACAATCATATAGAAGAAACTCACCATTTATTTAGATATCAAATATAAAACTCACTGATAATGACACTAAGAAATATTAGAAAATCATCAAAAAATAAGTTAATGAGTATATAAAAAATTAACTCAGGGAGAAAGCTAGTACACTAATCAGGATTACTGGGTAGTAATAGTCCATGAGAATAGTCTGCTTAATAAAAGATCTGGACTACATGAGATGTTCTTTCTCATTCAGAGAGAAAACTATAGACCATTTCTGGTTGAAATAACAGAAGGAAGTAGTTGTTCAGGGCTATAAGAACCACAACAAAAGAGTTAAATTCAGATTAAATTCACTTTGAGACTTAAATCTTCTACAGCTTGCTTTCCTCTTCATGTACATCTCGATCATTTTTTTTTTTTTTTTGCGGTACGCGGGCCTCTCACTGCTGTGGCCTCTCCCGTTGCGGAGCACAGGCTCCGGACGCGCAGGCTCAGCGGCCATGGCTCACGGGCCCAGCCGCTCCGCGACATGTGGGATCTTCCCGGACCGGGGCACGAACCCGCGTCCCCTGCATCGGCAGGCGGACTCTCAACCACTGCGCCACCAGGGAAGCCCCATCTCGATCATTTTAATAAAACTTAAAAAAAAAAACCCTGAAACTAAAAAGGTAATTAAGACAATTCAAACAATTTCCTATCACAAACTGGCATCTCTCATTCAAACGAAATCTTTCATTTAAAGAAATAAAGGCATAATGACAGCATTCCTTACTTTAAAAGGTCACAGAAGTGCTAAAAATAAAATCAGCTCACCAACCAGTTAACAAACAAGGTATATCCAGATGATGAGGTGCCTCATAATTAAAAGAATGAAGCTCTTTATGTCCCGACACAAACCAACTGCTAAACCATGTTAAGTGAAAACAGCAAGACATGAGTGTACACAGTATACTACCATTTGTACAAAAGGGATGTGCGGGGAGGAGAGTAAATACATATTTGCTTGTGTATGGACAGAACACCTCCGAAAGGACAAACAAGAAACTGGTGACACTTGGGTGACTGGAGGGCAAAACACATGACTCCCTGCTGTATTACATCCTATGTGTTTTGAATTACGGACTATCTGAATTAATTACTTATTAAAAAATAAAATTGGAAATACAAAACATAATCCTTTCTTCCATCTTCAGGTGTGATCTCTCTTTCCTTTGACTGCTTTCTGATGACATATACTCTGCATTATTAGTCATCATGTCCCCAAAAGTTCCTTGAGGGTAGAGATATGACAATGTAATTCATCTTTGGATTCGCTGCAGCTTCTGGCCCAGTGTATTAAAACACAGTTAACAATAATGATGAATAATTTAAAACAAAATAGGAAACACTTGTTGAGCACTTGTGACATGCCTCATGTTTAATATGCATTAACTTATTTAATTCCCACATTTGTATGAGCTAGATATTGTACACTTATGACCAAGGAAATTGAGGTATGGAGAAGAAACTTGCCCAAGGTTCCAAGCTAGGAAGTTAAAATAAACCTTAAAAATAAATAGCTGTCATTAATTGAATCCTTAGGAAGTATTTTATAATTATCTCAAAATGCTATAAAGTAGCTGGTATTATTCTAATTTTATCAGATAAGGAAACTAAGGCTGAGAAAGATCAAGAAACTTCTTGTAGGTCACAAAATTCCTTGAGGGTAGGCACATGATAGTAGTGGCAACAGGAGGATTCAAACTGGCATGTGATTCCCAAACCCCATGCTCTTTCCATTAACTACATTCTGTCACAGTAAATGCTAAATATTTGAAGTACCACAAATTGTGTCTCAAGTGATAATGTAGAGATGAGTTGATACATGAGTAAGAAAAAAAACAATCTTTTCATTTTTTCCATTCCCTATATCCTTAAATTCAGATTTGAGCTCTAACTACTCAATAAAGAAGCCATCACTGGAGGTGACACTGTAACATGAAGAAAGATATGCTTACAAGATTATGTCACAGGCTGGCTATAAACAAGTCTACATAACCATTCCTGATAAGATACTGAAATGAAATTACAAATTTCAGTGATACATTGTAAGCATTAGGTTACAAGTAAATAATTTTTTCTACTGTGTAAAAAAAGGAAAAAGATTTTTAAAATGAGGTGAAGTGGGAGATTTTTAAAATGAGGTGAAGTGGGGTTACTGCAACCATATTACACCCCCAAAACAAAACCCAATGTCTTAGAATGAAAAACAAAATAAAGCTACTTCTCTATGAAGAAACAAAAAGTCTATTAATCAGATCTAATCATGAAAATGAATTTCAGAAAGCAGAAAAAGGAAGGTGCCATTTTATGAATCACGTTTCTAAGTTTCCTTAGGCTCTTATGTGGGGAAAAAAATCATTCGAAAAGGGTAACACTAAAGTCTTAAATTCCATAAAAAGTGTCCTTTTAATATTTTTCAGTCAATTTGTGTCAAAGACTCATTGGCTTTCTGAATACATGTCCATTAAAAAAAAGGTTAAAGCAGATTTAACTGTAATTTTTGCTGATGCCTGGGAAGGAGCAGAAGTATAATTCAGTAACAAGCTCTAAATGAATATTCAAATGTTAATGAATATAAAAGTTTAAAAAGTTTCACCTGAGATTACTAAAAGAATTAGATTATGAATTTATAAATAAAAATTTTTAAAAATCTTTTGGATAAGACTGAAGAAAAAAACCTATCAGAAAACTTTTTTTTTCTAATTCAATAAAGGAAAAGTCATTGTCATACAGTCTGTAAGGCAAAAAAATTCTACTCAACTTATGCTGGTTTGCAGAAAATCCTTAAGGAAAACCAGTAATCTATAGTATCATCAAGACCATAATTTCCTCAGTGTTTGGAAATAAAATCATCTTCCCAATTCTTATGGAAAAACTCTTTATTACATCTTCTTAATTCGGTTTCTTGGTAATGACAAATTGCTAAGGTGGTTTTTTAAAGACTTGCAATACAGCAAAGTAGGTTTTGGAAAAGTGACTTGCAAACAGAAAATCAGAAGACAGTGCTTCTACTAACAATATTTATTCCTAACAAGAAACCTTGTATCAATCACAATTCTATCACACCCTGAGACAGGTATTTTAAAAACAAATAACCTGTTCATCTTTTGTATCACTTAAAATAACCATTTTGGCTTTATTTTTCAAATCAGGAAATAAGTGTAAAAGATTTCAATAGCTGGCAACCAAAAGTATCTTTTATACTAACTAAACCTTTAGAAGGCAAAACTGCTGCAAACTAAGGCTAGCATGAAATTCTAACTTCCGAAGAAGGCAAGACAAACTTAAATAGGTCATATCCCAGGTCCTTTAAAAATTGTCTTTTAATCTTTGATGTGTCAATGACTTTTCTGCTCTCCCTCTTCCCCAACAGGGAAAGAAAAAATAAACCTTGCGGCTTAAATTATTGTCGCTCTGGGGCTGGGGTTACCTACCGCATGCTAGACTAATAATGGATACTTTTAAATGCCTATTTTTAGAATTAGTATTAACCAATCTCTTGTTTACATTTAGACAGAAAGATGTGCGAAACATGGCAGGGGGTGCATGGGGAGATCCAGAAGACCCAACACCACGGCTGCCCCCCCCAAAAAAGGTGATGTAAAACAAAAGTACATCGGCTAATATTCGTTTCAACAAACTGTTTCAGAATCTCTCAAGTGATTATTCCCTTATTGAAAAGGGTTAAAACCGAAACTGTTTTCAAACATCAGCTTCCCTTTTACAAGATCCCAACAGTTTTTAAAAAGTTACTACCAATATGTTTTTCTTAGCACCCCCTTCCTCCCCGAAAGAATGCACTTCCATGACTACTGATTTAAAAAAAAAGAGGGTGAGAGAAAGAGTCAAAAATTATTTTAAAAAGCGAGAGTTCTCATTCCTTCATGTAAGCAGAAAAACACAGAAAACATCTTTGCAATGGGGGAAAGGGCGTGAATAAAATACAGTACGAAAGGAAACCTTGGGTTTCGAACTTTATTGCACAAAGAGAGAGTGGAGAGGAGAGTAGGTCAGCCGGAGCAGCGCTTCCCCTCGCGAAGCGGGCATGCAGACAAGGAGGCTACCGGGAAGGCAGGCACCTTCACCTCCTCTGCCCTCAGCTGTCGCCTTCTTCCTCCTCCACCCCCCGCGGGCACCCCGGCGGCGCTGCCCGGGCGGACGGCGGGCCGGGTCGGGGGCGAGGCGGGCGGCGGGGGCCGGGCGGGTGGCGCGGGGGACAGCGCCCGGCAGGGCCAGGCCGGCTGGCGGCCTCTCCCGGGGTGGCTTCGGGCTCCGGGCTCCCGGCTCCGCGCCGGGCCC